GCGCCTGGCGTTCGGGGCCCCAAGCGTTTGGGGCGAGCGCGGGATTTCAGCGGCGCCCGCCCAGGACACCCAGGACGCAATTTGCGCGTCGAGTCCCAAATGCTTGATTGTGCACCTTCGTGGGCGCACCTCCAAACGAGCCACTCCAGTCCGAGAGCGACCAATCCGTGGTCGGCCACTCTGCCAATTGGAACGCGCGCCTTCGGTGCCAGCGGATTCCCGGTCATGTCCCATGGGCCGTCGCATCTGCACTTGTGCAACCGCCGTCGGCTGCGGCGTGTCGCCCCCCCCGCCCCTTGGCACCCTTGCTGGGTAAGGGTGCAGGTATCTTTCGCGCCCGTGGCGACATCCGGACCCCGCCCCCGCCTCCCATCGATTCGAGAGAATCTATGCAGGGGGGTAGGGTTCGGATGTCGCCGCCGGCCCTTGCACCCACCCGCCAGTGTGATTTCTGCAGTCCGCAGTCCCACGGGTCCCGACCCGCTCCCAGGAGGCAGTCCTCCGACCCGGGCCCCCTCTTGAGAACGCCGGGGGGGCCAGCCTTGAGCCCGAGCGAGGGGACAGCGCCACTTGCCCTTGCATCTGCCAGCGTGATCGCAGCAATCCGCAGCCCCAGGGGTCCCGACCCGCTCCCAGGATTAAGTCGGGGTTGTTCCTTCACAGGGGGAAATGTCAACAATAGTCACAAATAGTCTTGGAATATGTCTATTATTATTTTCAATTGTTTTGGAGCATTCCTCGGGTTTTTGACTGTAGTGCCAATAGTGGTAGCATCGGGTAGTAATGGTAGTAGTCGTAGTAGTAATAGTAGTAGTCGTAGTAGTAGTAGGAGGAGAAGTAGTAGTAGTAGTAGTAGTAGTTGTAGTAGTAGTAGTAGTAGTAGTAGTAGCAGCAGTAGTAGTAGTAGTAGTAATAGTAGTAGTAGTAGTAGTAGTAGTTGTTGTAGTAGTAGTAGTAGTCGTAGTAGTAGTAGTCGTAGTAGTAGTAGTTGTAGCAGTAATAGTAGTAGTAGTACTAGTAGTAGTAGTAGTAGTAGTAGTAGTAGTAGTAGTAGTAGTAGTAGCTGTAGTGGTAGTAGTAGTAGTAGTAGTAGTAGTAGTAGTAGTCGTGGTAGTAGTAGTGGTAGTAGTAGTAGTAGTAGTCGTCGTAGTAGTAGTAGTAGTAGTAGTAGTAGTAGTGGTAGTCGTAGCAGTGACAGCCGTAGTAGTAGTCGACGTAGTAGTAGTAGTAGCAGTAGTAGTAGTAGTAGTAGTAGTAGTAGTAGTAGTAGTAGTAGTAGTAGTAGTAGCAGTAGTAGTAGTAGTAGTCGTCGTAGTAGCGGTAGTAGTAGTAGTAGTAGTAGTAGTAGTAGTAGTGGTAGTAGTAGTAGTAGTAGGAGCAGTGGTCTTAGTAGTAGTAGGAGTAGTAGTTGTTGTAGTAGTAGTAGTAGTCGTAGTAGTAGTAGTCGTTCGTAGTCGTAGTCGTAGTCGTAGTCGTAGTCGTAGTTAGTCGTAGTCGTAGTCGTAGTCGTAGTAGTAGTAGTAAGTAGTAGTAGTAGTAGTAGTAGTAGTAGTAGTAGTAGTAGTAGTAGTACTAGTACTAGTACTAGTACTAGTACTAGTACTAGTACTAGTACTAGTAGTAGTACTAGTAGTAGTAGTAGTAGTAGTAGTAGTAGTAGTAGTGTGTGGTGTGTGGTGGTGGTGGTGGTGGTGGTGGTGGTGGTGGTGGTGGTGGGTGGTGTTGGTGGTGGTAGGTGTAGTAGTAGTCGTAGTAGTGAAAGAGCGCGTTCTGTGGTCGCTTGGAGGGGGGGTTTGGAACGGGACCCCCCCCCGCCCCTTGGCTGGAGGGGTGGGTGTTTCGAACCCCCCCTTCCCCCCCCCCTCCCGTGACGGACGGGGGGAGGTTCGAACCCCCCCCCCTCCCCTCCCTCTCTTCCCCTACTTTTCCTCTCTCCATCTCCTCGGGCCGGCGCCTGCGTCGGCGGCTGCTGGCGGCGGCGGCGGCGGGGACGACGCGTTCATTTTCTGGGCCGTCGCCGGCGCCTGCGGCGGCGGGCGACGGTGGTGGTGGTGGTGGTTGTGGCGGCGGTGGTGGTGGTGGTGGTGTGGTTGGTGGTGGTGGTTGTTGTGGTGGTTGTGGTGGCAGGTTGTGGTGGTGGTGGTGATGGTGGCGGTGGTGGTGGTGGTGCGGTAGTTTCTGGTCGTGGTGGTGGTAGTTGTGGCGGTGGTGGGTTAAGGTGGTGGTGGAGGTGGCGGTGGTGGTGTGGTGGTTTGTCGTGGTAGTTGTGGTCGTGGTAGTGGTTATCGTGGTGGTGGTGGGTTGTGGTGGGTGTGGTGGTGGCGCGGTGGTGGTGGTTGTGGTGGTGGTGGTTTGTTGCGGTGGTGGTGGTTCTGGTGGTGGTGGTGGTGTGGTGTTGTGGTTTGTGGTGGTGATGGTGGTGGGTTGTGGTGGTGGTGGTTGTGGTGGTGGTTGTGGTGGTGGTGGTGTGGTGGTTTGTTGTGGTGGTGTTGGTGGTTGTGGTGGTGGGTGGTGGTGGTGGTGATGTGGTGGCGGTGTGGTGGTGGTTTGTGGCGGTGGTGGTGGTGGTGGTGGGTTGTGGTGGCGGTGGTGGTGGTTTGGTGATGGTGTGGTGGTGGTGGTTTGTGGTGGTGGTGGTGAGTTGTGGTGGTGGCTGTGGTTTGTGGAGGTGGTGCTGGTAGTGGTGGTGTTAGTGGTGGTGATGGTGGTGGTGTGGTGATTTCTGTGGGTTGTGGTGGTGGTGGGTTGTTGCTGGTAGTGGTGGTGGTTGTGGCGATGGTGGTGGTGGTGCGGTAGATGTGGTGGTGGTGGTGGTAGTGGTGGTGGGTTTTTCGCGGTGGTGGAGGTGGTGGTGAGTTGTGGTGTTGGTGGTTGTGCTGGTGGTGGTGGCTGTGGTGGTGGTTGTGTGGTGGGTTGGTGGTGGTGGTGGGTTTATGTGGTGGTGGTAGTGGTGGTGGGGGTGGTAGTGGTGGTAATCGTCGCTGCGTCCCCGCCGTCGGCGCTGCTGGCCCCCGCCAGCGCCGGCGCCGGCGCCAGCGCGGGAGGAGGGGGGGGGATTTGGACCCCCCCCCTAGGGGTGTGGGGTGGGGGTTCGGGAGGGGGGGGGCTAGGGGGGAGGGGGGTCCCCCTCGTTTTGATCGACGACGCCGAGTGTTAGGGGGGGCCCACCCCCTGGTTCGAAACGCGCCGCCGAATGTTCGCAAGGCAAGAAACGCACTCTTTCAGTGTCGCTGGCTCCCCCTGCTCGATGAGCGCGGCCGCCTCTGGATCTACGGGGCGTCGGGAGAGGCAGCTGCATTCAGCCGCACGGTGGCCGAGAGATCACCACCGACATCATTTGGGATCATCTACTCGAAGAAGACACAACCACATAAGCATAAACTTTTGGCGCTCCGCGCGGATTTCTTGGATCCGCGCCTCGGCCCCCTGGCGGCGCCTCCGGCGCCGACCCTGGCGCGCTCCGCGCGCTTGGGAGGGGGATCCAGCGCAAATCCAAGAAATTCGCGCGGAGCGCCAAAAGATTATGCTTAGGTGTTTTTGTTCTTGTTCGATCTACCCCTGGTGGAGGCCCCCCGACTTAGTGGTTATGTCTAGGCCTCCCAGACGAGGTCCGAGTAGAATGGGGTCGGTGGATCGCGTCGCAGCGCCGATGCATCGTCGATGCGGCTCGATGTGGAGCCCGATGTTCTCCGCGCCGACGTCGCCGGTGCATTGCCGACGTTGCCAGTACATCGCCGATGCATCGTCGATGCGGCGCAATCCTCCGACCCCATCTAGTTCGACCCAATCTGGGAGGTTTCTACGAGCGCTGCAGAGTTAGACGCTGAAATAAGGATTTCGCTGCGTTTGGAGAGAGGCTCTGTGTTCCTTAGGTCGTGCCCTGGTGGTTCCTCTAGCCCCTCTTGTGCACCTGGGCGCTGAGGACCAGGACGGGGTGGTGGATCTCGCGGCCCCCTCTCGTTCTGTTTCGATGCGTCCCTCGCCCCCCTTCTCACCATTCACCAAACCACCCCAACCCAACCCGAAGGCCTCAATTTGCCCTCCATTTCCAGTTGGGGGGGGGTCGGGGAACACTGAAAAAACACATATGGAACCCGTACCCCCCCCCCCAACCCGAAATTGTGGTCTTCGGGTTGGGTCGGGGTGGTCTGGTAGGTAGTCACCTTCTCCCCGAGCCGCGCACGTGCCTCTGAGCGCTCCTCCTCCTCCTCCTCCTCCTCCTCCTCCTCCTCCCCCTCCTCCCTCCTCCTCCTCCCCCTCCCCCTCCCCCTCCTCCTCCTGGAGGAGGTGTGCGAGCCCCCTCGCTCTGACGCCCCCTCCCTGGGCGCCCCCGGGCAGGAGGGGGGCCGCGAAGTCCGCGGCCTGCAGCCGGTCTCGGCCCCGCCGCCAGGCGCATTCTCCGAGGCAGGGTCGCTTCCAGCAGCGCCAGGCGCCAGAAGAGCCAGCCCATTCGCCGACCCCCGTTTTTCGGGGGTGAACAGAGCCCCCAACCGTGACACGCCGATCAGTGAATTGTCCGTTTCCGGTTCTCGAGAGGGCGCCGTGGCCGTTATTTTCCAGGCTCGCGCCTGCCATGTTTGGGCCTCAGGTCGTTTTCACTAAACCACGTTGTGCTAAAGGGGGGTCTGTCCATCCCCGAGTGTTGCTATCCCCCGCATTCGTCCGACCCGAGCCAGGCTTGCGCTTTTTCGGCCAAAACGGGGGCGCTCTGTAAGAAGGTTGCGTGCGGCACGCCATTTTCCGTTACGGTGCGGCTTAAGGTCGATCTCCGGGGGGGCATGATTGTCGACGCTCTGTTTGAGGATGCGGGGCAGGGCCAGTATCTCGTGGTTCTGGATTTTGAGGCACGCGGTGCGCATGCCACCTGTCCGTAGCCATTTTGGCTCAAGCCGTGATAGCTCAAGCCGAGCTTCGTTCATGCGGTACCGAGTCAAGATCGGATTGCGAGCTTGTTTTCTTAGCTCGAATTGTGGTTGCTGCGTTGCGACATTCCAGCGATAATGCAAGCTGGCGGCGGTTTTCAGTCTGCTCTAGCTTTGTTCAAACGAGCGGACGAGCGCGCCGCTGGCTTGATCAGCCGCGCCAGCATCAGACATCTGTTTCGCTCTCTGGGTTTTCATGATGGTGACGTGGAGAACATACTTCAGAGCGTCGGGTGTCCACAAGAAGACCCCGTCATGTATGAGCCACTCTTGAGATGGGTGTTCGGCGAGGTCGCCGCCGACAAGTCAGATTACTCCGACCAGATCTCACCGTCACAATACATTGGGCTGCTTCGTGAAGGTCAAAGCGTAGGGCTTGATCGTCTTCATAGTTTGCGAGGGCGATTGTGCCGTGGAAGAGAGCCGAAGCACTTCGCTACGCTGGGCCACGGCATGAGTTGTTTTGTGCTGGGGGCAGAAGGCCTCAAGCTCTTCCTTGATGCAGCCGCGCGGAATGATGGTGATGGCGCTCCACTTGAAATGCTGCTCACGATTGGATACGATATCCTCGACATCTACGAGAAGTTGCAGGCTGGATGGGTCTTCGATCTTGTCGTGTGGAAAGCCGTTGACTACGACCCGCCGTGTGCGACGTGGGAGGGGGTTGCAAGTACCCTCGAATCTGTTTACCCCGTTGCCGCTGAGCATATGCGAGTTCACTTAGCTGAATTGCAACAACGTGGGTCTGGCGTGTCCTCACCTGCGGGCTACGCAGCCCTTCAAGCTCAGCATCGTCCAGAGGTCAACGGCTACACTTTTAGAGCAGACGCGTCTCAACTCAAGTACGAAGACTTCTGCGCTCTCGCTTCGGCGGGGAAGTGCAGCGCGTCGATGGTGCGCAAGTTCTTGTACGACTCGATCGGGCTCAACGATCTGTATGCCGGCACAGGCTACACAATTCTTGCTGATGGCAGTCGTGGAATCACAGAGTACATTGCTCTCAACATGCGACGTGGTGACTTGCAGCATGAGGCGACCGCCCTTGGTGCACCCACCGTAACGGAGTGCTTGACGCGGATTTCAAAGATGTACGAGGTTCTGATCACCCAATCAAGCGGACTGCAGTCGTTCCATCTGTCCCGTTGGTTGCCTGCTGAAGAGATACCGCCGGCAGGAACCGGTAGGCGGATCAGTCCATCGCCCAAGGATGTGGCAGATATGTTCCGCCGCGGCGAGCGCTTCTCGCCTGGTACGGTTCTGGACGGGTTGTGTTGCAGATTGCAGGTAGGCAAAGACGCGTCATGGTTTGCAACAACAGCAGGGCAGGTCAAATGGGGCCGCAAGGTGAGCCTGGTTGGGGCATCGGATCAGATTTTGCGTTTTTTGGAGAGCCCGCGGGCGCTTGATTGCCTGCTCCTCGCGGGGCTGACGCTGTCAGACGCCCTTTTTTACGTGAAGACTGGTCGTGGCGTGCAGCTGACAATTTGTCGGTAACCCCGATGTATTCCCTGCTTCATTCGATGGCGTTGCTCACCTATGCCGCCAAATGTTCCCGGATGTCGTGGAGCCCCTGTGCCGCCACCGCGAAGCGGTGCTACAGCCCCTCACAGAGGAGGAGTTCGAGCTCTTCGAGAGTTCGAGCATAAACAAGATAAGCCACTTCGCTGGAAAGGAGGATGCATACATGGACTACGGCCGCTTTCAGTCCTCGGCGCAAGGGCCAAGCGAAATCCGGCAGTTTCTTTATAACTCATTGTATTTGCGCGGCGGCTGGAACGGCTCAGGGTACGAGCGCCAGTTCATTGGCAGAAGGGCCGTAGCAGTCTGGATCAGTCCCACCATCAACCTATCTGATCTAGGTGCCGACGACTTCGCGACGGTCAACCTTGGCGCACCCGCTCAAGACGAAGTAATCGCACGCATGTGTGCTGCCATTCGTGACTTGCGTGACGTTGCAATTGCTACGCGTGATGTTTCGCTCGAGTGAGGGTACAGCCGGCCGACACCTTGCACTGGGACCTACAACATACTAACTCTTGTTCTCAGCTGGGCAGATTGGCACAACGGTGCACCAAACAATAGCAACACACCACGCATCAATAAACGTCTTTCAGGAATTTGCCCGAAGCGACCCCCAGTCAGGGATATTCCCATATCCGAAGGCGCACATGCCACATTTACAATGCGAAGCGCCCGGAGGTGCATCGCAACAGGGTGCCATGCAATGCGAGTCATGGTACATAGCAACAGCGGATTTCATAACGCCGCCTAGCATGCCATGATACAGCCGTTACTGCATTGTGTTTTAGCGGCATGTCGCAGGATATCATCACCTGGCGTATTCGGACGGCATATCACCGCCTTACGACATCGTGTTGCGTGACATAACGAGGCGTAGCATAACGTAGCACTGGAAGACATTACATAGCCCAACATAAGATATCATGACGCAGCATGACATTGGTCCGCCAGGCATGGCATGGCATAGTATTGCATACACAGCGGGCGCACGCCATGCCACAGCATAGCTTGAAGCAGCATGGCATGCTTCACTCGTCAAGAGCAACGTCCTGGGGGATATGTTCAGGGGTGAATGCATCGCCCATTGATCGCCGCTAGGAGCCTGACAGCCCCACCCTTCGAGCATCACACGGATTCGCTGTCGGGGGCCGCCGATCCATCGGCGATGTCTCGCCGATTCCGAGTCGATGCTTCTCCCCGCTTGCCTGAGTTGGTCCCCCCTTAACGTGCCGGCATCGAAGTTCCCTCCCTCTCCCGCTCCTCATGAATAAAGTTGTGGAGGCCACGCGCAGCGCGCAAGAGTTGTACTGTCTAGTCCAGACGTCTGCCCCGTCCGATACGAGACGATGCTCGTGCGGTGATGTTCCGACGAAGGTCCGACGTCAATCTTGTGTAATGCCGACATCAAACCGGCCTGAATCCGACGTGGCGCCAACGTAAGTTTGGTTTCCAGTTGCCGGGCCTGTCCCTCTGCAGGAGGAATATTCCAAAAAAATTAAAACATAGTGTGGAGACGATGTTTGGATCATGTTTGATTATTTCTGAACAGTTCAGTGTTTCCAATTGTTCGTCAAGAATCCGCCTGTAGGGGGACATGCCCGACCTAATCTGGCTTCCAGTTGCCGCGAGAGGCCTCCAGGATTTTCCTGACAACGCTTCTTTGTCTTTCTCTGCCCAGAAATCCCAGTATTCTTCCCCGCCGCCCCCCCTCGACGATGAGGCTCGACGAGGCCAGGGATGGAGTGAGAGTACGAGGTGGTGGCTTCCTCAGCCGGCGGCGGGGCTTCTCGGAATCAGGATGGGAACAAAAACACAGACACAAATGATCGTCGATTCCCCCGAGGAAAAATATGGGAAAATATAGGGCATGGGGGGAAACGAAAACACAGAAAATACTGGAAGATATTGGGAATGCTGGGATTTGTGCGTATTTGTTTGTGTGTCCCTGCGCCCCCTCACGGAAGCCCTCGGGCCTTCTGGGAAAGTTTTTGCGTCCCCGGCGAAGGTTCAGAACAGTTATTCAGCAGGCGCGAGGGTTTTCGAGAAGCCGCGCCGCCTGCGGAGAAGGCTTGCCCCCACCCACTTCCCCCCTTGGCGCGCCGCCGAAGCACTCTTTCCTGCGGTCGGACGGAGGTTCTCACCACCTACCAGACCACCCCAACCCAACCCGAAGGCCTCAATTTGCCCTTCATTTCCAGTGTGGGGGGGTCGGGGAACGTCGAAAAAACACATGGAACCCGTACCCCCCCCAACCCGAAATTCGGGTCAAATTCGGGTCTTCGGGTTGGGTTGGGGTGGTTTGGTAGGTAGTCAGGTTCACTCCTCTCTTTTCTTTTTACATTTGTCATCATCAATACCATCAGCACCAGCACCAGCATCATCATCATCATCATCATCATCATCATCATCATCATCATCATCATCATCATCATCATCATCGTCATCGTCATCGTCATCGTCATCATCATCCTCGTCGCCGTCGTCATCATCATCATCGCCATCATCGCCATCATCATCAGCATCATCATCACCATCATTATCATCATCAGCAGCATCTTCATTGTCATGTCGGTCTTCATCCTCGTCGGCACCTTCAGATTCATCTTCATCTTATGTTCATGTTCGTAGCCATCTTCATACTTACGCAGGCCGAACGATTTTCCTCTTGAGCCCCACATGTCGGAAGCGACGCGCCGTTCAGGTGAGCGGATGCATGGAGCGTTCGCTTCGAGGTGGGGTAACTATGTTATGGGTGGAGATGCGGGAGTTCGCCAGGCCCGCTGTGGCGTTCGAGCAAACTTATGTTATGGGAGGAGTTTCGGGAGATGGCCAGGCCCGCTGTGGCGCTCGAGAAACCACATGTGATGGGAGAAGTGAAGGGAGGTGGTCGGGCCCGCTGTGGCGCTGGAGTTTCCGATTTGGACACTTTGCTTGTATGTCCTCGCCCCCCCTCATCCCTTCCTCTCCTCCTCCTCCCAATTCCCCCCTCCTCCTCCCACCTCTTCCCTCCTCCTTCCTCCTTCGTCCGTCCTCCTCCCTCCTCTCTCCTCCCTCCTCCCTCATCCTCCTTCTCCTCCTCCTTCTCCTCTTCCTTCCTCCTCCCCCCCTCTCTTCCCTGATTGTTCCTCCTCTCTCCCCCCCTGCGTCCCCTCTATTCTCCTCCCACCTCTTGCCTCGTCCCTCATCCTTCCTTTCTTCATCCTGGGAAGACCCCCTTTCCCCGTAGAAGCATAGCATTGGTCCGCAGATCCACAGCTCTGTGGATAGCATGATGCTTGAATTGCGGTGCTCCGCGGATCCCATGTCCCCTGGGTCCCGGATGTTAAGTATCATAATCGATTTATTCCCAGGAAAATAAATGGATCCATCGTTTTTTTTTTCACACAGGAAATTGGATCCGCGCAGTGCAGAAACAGGATCCACGAAACCCTCCCACACCCGAAAAGGGATCCAACTTGATCCAGTGATGTCCTCATATTTTTAGTCCAAGAAGGAAAACTTGCAGCCTGGGTTTGTATTCATCTTCATCTTCACATTCGTCCCCATCTTCTCATTCATCATCATACACACGCACACACACACACCCACCCACACACACTCGCGTATGAATATTGAAGGAATCTCGAGCGGGAGACTCGTCTGTGAGTGAATCGCGCGGAAGTCTCGAACTGGAGCCCCTCCATATGGGGTCGCCACCTCATGTTGGTAATTCGAGGTGGCCATCGGAATATCATGTACAAACACAGGGTTGGTGACACCTGTGAGTCTGAATCCAGAAGACGTCTCGAGCGGGAGCCTCGTCCCTGAGCAAATGGAGACGTTGTCTCGGGCGCTCACTCGTCTGTGAGCGAATCGCGGGGAAGTCTCGAGCGGGGGCCCTCCCCGTGGGGTCCCCGCCTCGTGCTGGTAGTCCTGGGCGGCCCAACGCAACACCACAAGCAAACACAGGTTTGGTGACACCCGGGAGCCTGCATCCCGGTGAAGGCTCGAGCAGTGGCCTCTCGTTCCCAAGCCCACTGGGAGGCTGTCTCGGCCGTTCGCCTACGAGTGAAGCGCGAGGAAGGCTCGAGCGGGAGCCTCCTTATCGTTCAACCGATCCCCATCCCCATACCCATCCCCCTCGAGGCCCCAACCAAATCACCACTGCAGTTGGGGACACACCCCTCGAAGCCCAGAGGGAACGACCTGTTTCCCCATCCAGGGGGGTGAATCGGCCAGCGGGGCCCAGGACCTTCGCTGGCGACACCCCCAGGGACTCGCCGGGACTTTGTGAGGAGGCATGTTGACTCCGCACCCCCCACGCCCCCCTCCCCTCCCCCGCCCGCCCCCCATCCCCCGGACAGGGAAGGGATAAAGGGAAGGAGCTTACCTTCGACTTGACTACGACGTTCCTTTTTTCCTTGTTCCTCGATGTCCTTGGGACTGACGACGACGACGACGGCGGCGGCGACGACGGCGACAGCATCTTCACACGCCGAAGGGTCGGCGAATTTTGGAAGATTCTCATGCGGGGTCCGTCCGTCGGAGTAATCCCAGCAGCCTTCTGGGCGTAGGTGGTCTAGGGAGCTTTCTCTTCCAACCCTTTTTCTCCACTTCTGGAGGGGTTCACCCCTCCCCCTTAACCCCCTCCCCTGGACTTGGACGGGGGTGGTCGCGGGTAGTTGGAGCGTCCGAGATGGCCTGAGATGGTTCAACGAGGGCCTCATCGTGCAAGATGGCCTCCAAGATGGCTCCAGATAGCGCAAGATCGCTCAAGATGGCTTACAAGATGTTCTAAGAGGCCCCAAGATCGCCTTAAGACGGCTCTAGGTGGCCAAAGGGCTCCCCAAGGAGGCCCCCAAGAGACCAACATCTTCTTCAGCGTTGTTGGCTTTCTCGCCGTTTCGCTTCCGATGGCCATTCGAGGCTTCAAGAAGGCTCCAGGATGGCCCAGGAGGGGCCCAAGAGAGCCCCAGGACGGCCCCAAGAGCGCTCCAAGAGCGCCCCGAGGGCCGATTTTGGGCACCCTAGAATGGCAACGCTAATTGAGGCTCCCCTCTTATTGCATCGATATCTTTCAAGATGGCTCCAAGAGCGCCCCTAAAGCTCCCAAGAGCGCCCCAGGAGAGCCCCAAGATGCGCCCAAACTGCTCCAAGATGCGCCCAAGTGGCCCGCATGAGGCGCCCAAGAGACCTCCAAGGGGCCTCAAGACGACCCCCGACGCACTCGAGGCGCTCGAAGACGGCCCTGGGGCCGCCAAGATGAGCCCCAGACGCCCCAAGAGGCCTCCGAACTTCTTTCAAGCGAAGGCTTCTAGGGCGTACCACTGTCTTGGCTTGTCAGGATCATAGAGCACGAAAGAATCCCTGACCCGAATCACACGCTGAAGACGTGGCCTCACTGAGGTCCCCGTCTTCGCGTTAGGGATCATAAGCCGGGGCGGTTTGGTCTGGTACACCTGCAGAACAGACCCCCTATCCCGAATG